CTCAGCCACTGCAGGTATTTGCCTGCATGGTCGGGATGTCTGTGCAGTTACAAACTGAAGTAGCCTAGCCAGGTTAGACTAACCTGCAAAGATTGAATCAGTTCAGGCTCAGGCTTTTTGGTTGTCTGTCCTGAGCCTCATTGGCCATGGTGCAGGTATGGGTTCAAGTTGCAGCTCTGGGACAGGCTCCCCACACAGCAGCAGTGATGGCATGGGCTTTGTGGTGGCCACCATTCTGGTGCCCCCTCTAAATTGATGCCTGGGGCTGGTGCCCAACTTACCCACTCTTAATTAAGGTACTATGAAGAAATTCCAGCCTTGGTAAGTTAGACAGAAATGTACCCAGTTGCGTCTGATCTACAATGAGGCACAACTAGCAGAGGTCATTGAATTAACAAGCAGTTAGAAAGCTACGTCCACTATCCTCATGTCATGCTTTGGTGGGGATACTTTCCAATATTTTGCCAGTTCCTTCTGGAAACCTCTTGCCCAATTGATTTTTCTGTGTCTTCAAAGCTGGCTCTCTGAATTCAGTTGTCATGGTGCATTGTCTTTTGACCTCCAGAATAAATTTAAACTCATGCTAATTTTGGAAATCTCTTATTGGGGTTTGCTGGTCAGCTGCTTCATTCTGCAGCTGAACGTGAGCATTTTTCAAATAAGTTTGCATCCGTCATCTCAGTCTCCTCTTGCTGCCACACACCTCTCTCCATCCTCCCAAAAGGACAAGTCAGGAACATCACTAAAACTTAGCAAAGGCACCAATAATAAAACCACAATCCTATCCTATTTCTTTAACATTTGAAATGTCTTTCAGTGACTTTGCTTATAAGGGTGAGAATTTCAAAGGCAGCATTGCCAGGCATCTAAGATATGGCATGATCTCTGGTCTGAGTCAAATGGAGAAGAGAAGAAATTTTGTTACTCATTATTAATCATTTAAGGAGGGACGGGTTTACTTTAGCAGTCTGCTCTTGTTCTGACAAGTTTCATCCTGGCAAAGAGTGTATGTTCTGGAAGCAGCATGGTAAAGGATTTAATTAAGGTGACATTTCGGGGTAAGTCATTACTTTAAGAAATACATAAGAATACCTCCCATTTTCAGTGAGTCGGCTTTTCTCTTTTTAATTGTGCATCCTTCTGGCTTTTCATTAGGGGAGATGTTTGCAGTGTACCTGAATAGCATTCATCTTCCTCATGCCCAAAATAGCATTTATCTGATACAGCCACAATGCTAGCATTCCATACTGTTCTGAAGTGGGCAAAGTAGGGGAACACAATACCACGAGTGTTGATGGACTGGAACAGATATTTGCCTGCAGACCCTACTAACTCAACCTAATGGCATTTTGATTCACTGGGCCTTCTTTAGAAGGCTTAGCTATTTTAAAACCTTCGTTTTCTGTCTTGGTTCTGATATTTTTCTTAGTACAGGATCATTCCAGATAGCTGGCCTCAGAAAGCTTTAATCTATAAAGTTGCATAGTTCAGTGAAATTCTTCCAGGGATATTGGTAATATATTTTTTAAGCATTTGGCAATATTAGTATCCTCTCAGTTAGAGGGAATGGCAATAATCATCTGTAAACCTCACTGCTCTTTATGAATGCAATGCAGTTATCTCTGTTCTACGGTTAGAGAAACAGAGGCAAAGAAAAGCTAAGTGACTTGCCCAGGGTCACAGAGGAAGTCAGACTAAGTCAAATGTAGAACCCCAGAACTCCTCTGCACTGGAGCACATTGGCTGGCTCAGTGACAGTCCCAGTCTTCATATCTTTGGATCCAGACCTGATTTTCCCAGAGCTAGGTCTTGAATTTGGGCAGTCTTAATATTTCAAGGAGATAGATGTGTTGTGTTCTGCCTAGCAAATAGCATAGCTATTGATGGGGCATGCTGTCTATGAAAAATTAATTTAAAGTGTTAGGTAGTTTTCTGAACACTTTCTGAAGATCTCTGGATTAGTGTTAAATGTCTGTATCCAGCTATGGTGAAACACATCAGTGTCCACCTTGGCTTGACACAAAGCTCTGTTGTATAGCAAAGAGGCATGAAGGAAAAAACATCTAATTCCATGACACCCTTCCATGTGCAGGGAAAGTGTCCTATTGAGGCTGGGAAGGGATACACTAAGCAGCCTCAGTCTGGCCCAAGAGACGTGACAAACCCATTAAACAGTGCACCACAACAGTGATGTTGATGCATATCAGCGTAGATTTCTCTCTCTCTCTCTCTCTCTCCCCCTCACCCCAAGGGAAGTTCTTTGCCTTGCAGCCCATACTAGGCATGCTTTCTTTATATTCTGTAAACAAGGTATATTTATAACTGAAGGCTCTGCTGGGTTTCCTCAGATAATTCATAGCTAGTCTGGTGTGCCAAGAAGGACTGTGAAACCAAAGGATGAATAATTATGGCAGTAGGTTCTCAAGTTGGGCATATACCAGCTCTCAGACATGCTTTAACCTGTGCTTGTATTTTGGATCAGTCCACCCTTTTCATGTCCTTGGGCTGCCTGCATCAATAATTGATTAAAGCTGGTATAATCACTGCCTTCCTCCCCCAGAATCATTTAAGCCATATAAGACTTCCCTTAGCGGTTATGGAACTGCAGGTGGATGTTTGTGCTGTAGGCCGTGACTTTGCAATTGGATCTGTGCACACAACTCCCTCACCCCATTAAAATCACTGGAGCTGTATACAGGGACATTCATCTTTTTGTTCTGATGCAACGACAGGACCACTGGGGCTTAGTTTTTTAAAAATCTCCTTTTTACATGGCTCAAGCCAGAAGTTGGGGGGTGGGGGGGGAGGGGGGGTGCTAAAGCACAGCTCTCTGGCACATAGCCAGCATGGGCTGTGTGCTTACTTCCTCTTCCTGCTGCCTCTAAGTTCTCTGGGATTTGCAATCCAGACTCACTGCAGCAGGACTCTTCAAAGTTGCTCATCACTTCCTGTTTTCAGGTGCCTCTGGGATTTGTAGTCCACAGTCACAGCCAGCACTAAGTAAGCAGGGCAGGGCAGCTCCATACTTGGGGGAAGAGACGTTTAACCCCCCTCCCTGGCCCCAGACCCCAGCAGGGGTTTGCCTGAGGTGGGGCAATGAGCCAGCCAGTGAGGCCATGGAGCCAGTTGTCAATGCTCCAGCTAGGGAGCAGAAGGGCAGGACCAGCCCTGCTCTCTGGAGCAGACAGCCCAGCCCAGCCCAGCCCAGGGCTGCAAAATGCTGGGGGACTCTGATTTAACTTGCACCAAGAAAGGGTCTGGGACAGAAGTTGAATAAACCAGTTTGACCTAAATCAGTTAAGTCTCATACAACATTTAACCAGGTTTATCTTAAACCAGTTTTAGCCATTTTGAACCAGGTTTATATGTACTGTACTTCTATTCTGTTACAAGTTTAAATCAGTTTCTGATCACTTAAACTGGTTTATGTATCACTTCTGTCCCTAGCCTAGCTGTTTAACAGCACGGTAGTTTAGGATGAGAAGCAAAGAACACTGCACTGAGCTGAACATGGAAAGGGAATTTTCTGAAGGCAGAATGTCACAAGCATGAGTTGGTTTTGTGGATGTAGGCTAGGATGCTGGAGTCAGTTCCACTGTTCTTACAAAAAGAGCTTTGCATAAGGGCTGATGAGTTACGTTTAGCATCTTACCTAAAAGATTATACTTCTGGAAATGCTGTCCCCTCATCGGTCTGCTGATTAAGTCAACACTGTCTTCGGAGAAAATCAAAGTCCACTGCAATTAGTGGGAGTCTTTACATTGATTTCAGTGGACTTTGGAACAGGCCCATATTATAAGCATCTTATACTAAACTGCATGCTAGCTGGCTTATGATACCTGACTTGATCACTGCACAAAGTGGCAAGGAACTTCACAGATGGAACGAAAAGTGGCCATTAATGCCTAGCTATCCTCAGCGGACCCAGAGAATAGTTAAGGATGTTCCTTATTAAAACTGGAAGAGCTCTTACCGCAATCCACTCTGATGCCCAGCAAAATATATTCTGCAGTGCTTTCTGGATCATTTTGGTATCCATAGAAGAATGGAAATCAGCCACAAGAGCCTTGGGTAGATACTCGAGTTCTACTTTAACTAGGCAAAGTCCAGTATCTGGGCTTTTAGATTATCTGCACCATTTGTTGATCCTCTGCTCCTTTTTACCTTTATTGGATCTAAATGATACCAGATTTATTGCAGCCCTTGTGGAGGGGTTTTAAATTTCTGAAGCTCTGCCATTTTATGCAACAGTCCATCCCGTGTTGCTTCTATTTATATCTTTATGCAAACAGCTTATTTCAAGCTGGAAATCCCACCTGGGTTCTTTTTCTGGGTCTTACTGATTTATTAAAAGCAAAGGTGAACCCAAACCAAAATCTTGGGTCTAAGCCTGACTCCCTGCCTCACTGTACACTGATTTCTTAAAGCTTGTTCCAGAGCTGAGTCTTTGCATTTGGCCACTTTGTTGTTTGCTGTTTTTTCTATATTCTCTTTTTTGGGTGGACTGTATCTTTCTATTTGTAGAGCATCCACCTCCCTGATTGTCCGGTGCTGTACCCTCAATTTCAGTGCCATTGCTTATGCTAGATGTGAATGAGTCATTGGGTGTCTGCTCTGTCTCTCTCATATGTGTCCCCTCTTGTCTGTTGTTTTCTTTTGTCCAAAATCAGTAATTGAGGCTGAAAAGTACACATTTGAGCTTTGCATATAGGGAAAATGTAACACCCCCATTTCCATATGGTTCCGAGGCAAAATGCTCGATTAATACTTCTGGCTATGGCAGGAAATTGAGGTTCAGATTCAAATTTCATTAGCTCGGGTCCACTTTTATTCATAATCTACTCTCATTGATTTCCACCCTTTCACTTTTTGCTTTAGCAAGGCAGACCTATGGGCTATCCTCTGTTACTGAAACATTGTCTGGGAAGTCACCCAGAGTTAAAATGTGTTTGGAAAAGCTCCTGTTTCTCTGTAATGGATCCCTTTTTGTTCCACCTTAGGTGACTCCGGGAAGCAAAGCTGCAATAGCCAGTTTATGCATAGGAGACGTCATCATGGCAATTGATGGAGTGAACACAGACAATATGACACACTTAGAAGCACAGAACAAAATTAAGGCCTGCATAGATGAGATAAATCTGACAGTTGGAAGGTAAGTTACTGAGATGTGCCCATGTGGGGGCAGGACTTGTTGGTTCTTTATAGCAACCACATCTGATTAGCTTCCCTGTCTTGACCTCTCTGGACCACACGGGCAATTATTTCGGGTAGAGGGCAGCTTACCAAGTTTTGGTGAGCTATCAAGGGTCGCATGGGTAGCCCCACCCCTTGACAGTTGCTCCACCCTGGTCACCGTATTTGGGCCATAAGTCCCACCCCCTAACCCCTGATCTTTGCCACTGGAAGTCCCTTCGCTTGCCCAGGAAGTACTCCTTTTGGGAGGGAGGGTACTGCAATCTTGAAACCAGAAAAAAACAATATTGTATCCAAAAAAAATAAAACATGTACTATAACTTATTTAAACTTTATTTAAAAATATTTTTGTACTGTTTTGTGCGTTTGCAAAGTGTATCTAGAAGTGAGTGCATAATGGCTAAAAATACAGTCCTACTGTATATTGTGTGTGGACAGTAAGGGAGTATATGTAGGGGGTGTGGTTGAGGAGTCAGCGTGTGTGTGTGCGTGTGTGTGTGTGTGGGGTGGCGTGTGGGTATGGTGGGTGGGTGTAGATGGGTGTGCAGTATGTGGTTGGGGTGGGGGCTGTGGGAGGGTGTGGGGTTATAGTGGGTGGGGTGAGAGACAGAGAGAGAGACAGGGCCAGACCGTGTGCTGCTCTTGAGGACTGCATATGAGCCTCATGCAATGCAGCCAGGCAGACCCTGTACCCAGGCTCCAGGCTCCTGCCATCCCATCCTGGGTCCCCACTGGCCCCAGGGCACTGGCATGGACTCTGTGCTCCTGCCCACTGCTACCATGCCACCGTTGTTTCCTTGCTTTCCCTCCCACATGCCCACACACTGCTGCCACCGTCGCCGCTTCCCAGCCCCCCCGCCCCCCCCCCCGCCCCCCCCCTGCCACCCCCCCTGCCCGTGCCACTCCCCACTGCCACACCTCCTGCTATCGATGTTTCCTGTGGTCCCCCTGTCACTCCCCCCCACCACTGCCACTTTCCGTGGCCCCCCTCACTGCTGCCCCTGCCGCTCCCCACACCACTGCTTCCCATGGCCCCCTCACCGCTGCTACTTCCTGCGCTGCTCCCTGCTGCTCCCCGCACTCCCCTGGGGAGTAAGCAGAGCAAGACTTAATTGTTGTGGGAGCCCATAACCACCCAGTTCCTCCCACACATGAGGATGATAGGAAAGGTTGTGCATATCTTAAGATTGAATGGAGTTTTTCAGCCAGAGAGTACAGGTTGGGTGGTACCTGCAATGCTGTGTTTTACTCAGATTATTTTCAGGAGCTCTACACCTTTGACCATCTGATACTGTCCTTGGCTCATCATGAACTGTACTGGAAATTGCCTGTATGCAGCCTCACAACAATCCATGTGGATGGATACAAGCTTAGTTTTGCATGTTCCCAAGTGGCCTCACTTGAGTTTACTGAGGTCCAGGAATGGCATTCCTTTAGTAATCCATGCACAATCAGGACAACCCCAATCTTATTTTTTTCTTTTGGATAAAGCATCATATATGTCCTTTTCTGGAGACAGGGAGAGAAAAATAGCCTCAGGAGGTCCTTCAAAGTTTATTTAAACCTCAGCCCATGCTCATGTGCTTCACATTATCCAGCTTTGCTTTCAAGCACCTGCAGGTTCCCTCAAGTCACTTGTGTTGGGTACCACTGTTGGTCTTGTGGGTTTTCTTTTGTTCCACTGCTGAGTCACTCTCTGAATGGGATTATACGAGCCCAGCAGTGTGCTCTCATTCATCCATTCTGAGCTGAGGAAAAAGAGACTGGCCTGTTCCCTCATCACATACTGCCTAATGTTTGTACCATAGTGGGAAGGGGAAAATGTAATCTTCCCTTCTACCCTTACTTTTTAAAAAGAGGTTCTGAGAACTTGCAGCTACCATAGTTTTCAGTGGGATCTCTGGATATGAGCATGGTGGCAGAGTCGGTCTTTAGAAGCCGCTTTCTTCTGCAGTGAGTTTTAAATCCTTTTTCCTTTCCCTTAAAAGCATTTGTAAACCTCCAGCCACTGCTGTGGGAGTGCTTTCTTGGACCTAATGCTAGAGGGCATGTGATAGGAGATCATAGCTTAGCAGACCAGAGATAACTCTTAGTGCTCTTAGTCCACAGAGTTCTCTTACTGATGTTTGGTTGATGCCAGTAGCTCAGTAGACACTTTACAGTCCAACAAAAAGTTGTAGTTCCAACCCAAAATGATTGCAAAACAGTGTGCAATATGAAGATGGTAGAGAGAAAATGACATGAAAGCAGGGTGTACGGTCACTGAATGTACAGTGTTTTATTAGCCCCACTCTTTCTCATGAAAATTCTGAATTCAGTAATCGTTATCTTCATGCAGAAATGTGCTTATTGGCCTTTTTGAAATCATGTGTTTCCTAACTGAACAAAGCAATACTGTGTGGTTCTGGCTGAGTGAAAACGGGAGGAGAGGGCTGTTTCAGCCCATAGACAAGTTCACACTTTACAGATCATTTAGCTTGTGAATGTGCTTGCTAATGTTAATCAAAAAGTTGTTAACTTTATGACTACCCAATGAGCATTCAATTAGATCAGGGCATAGAAGCTGCCCTGGAGAATAATTCTAACTGGATGTGTAGTCATGCGGAACTATGGAATGGCTCTGAATGAACACAATGCAACTTCTTTTTCAAGTGTGGCCTCCTTATGTGGAATCAAGCTATTTTATATGAACTTCTTCCTTCATGCTGATAGGCTCAGGCAGCAAGACCTACATTACCTGTGAGAAGAGGAGAAATCATAGGCCTTTCTTATACTTCTGTTTAGGTAGACTTGGGGTGATGTTTTGTCTGTCCATTTATCTTTGGGTAGCACACTCCTGCCAAAGTATGGCAGAAGTATACCAAGGTATTTAAGTGCATTCCAAGTAAAATTAAGTCCAATCCCTAGTGGACTTCGTGGCATCCTTAAAGCAAACAGAACTCCTCAAGTACTTCATAACTCATGGAGATCCAATCCACACCCCAAGCAAAAATTTGACTACTTCATGGAGTTTATTTTGTTTTGCAGGGAGTTGGTAATGGTTTTACAAAGGAGAGTGTATTTTTTATGTTGGAAAAGCGTGTCATGAAAGAGAAGCTCTGGATTAACCTGAACTCCTTTGGGAGATTGATCTGTGTACAGATCCCCTCAGCTGAGAGAACTTTCTTTCCAGCTACCCTGGATCTTTTGATCTACTTGGTCGCAGAAGAGTGCAGCTGGTTGTGGTGGCTCACAGATTCATGTTTGGTCTTTGAATCAGAAGCTTGATCTATTAATTGCTTTGAAGATTATTACCAAGGCCTTAAGATAGCATCAGAAGCCTGCAGAGAGTATATAGATGTGGTGTTCTCATGGTGGCCTAACCCATGGGGAAAACAAGCAGGTGCAGTCTATGCCATTTGGAGCTTGTGCATCATCTTCATGTTCAACTGTACATAGAGTGACTGTCGCAGAGCACTTAGGTGCCCTGCTCCTTTAAAGAGGGGAAACTGCTAGGGCTGCTAGGGGAAGAGCCCTAGCAGTGAGTGGGGAGCCCCAGCTGCTGGTTACCCAGGCAACCAGAGTGAGCTAGTGGCCCACCCCTGCCAGCGGTCAGCTGACCAGAAGGGGCAGGGCCTGGCTCACATATAAACCCCAGGGCTGAGGCCAGGATGGCAGTACCCTACCAGCAGCCAAGGGGGAAGGAGCTCTCCCAGAGCAAGCAAAGGGGAGAGGCCTGACTGCAGGTACAGCCCCCGAGACTGGTGAAGGATGGAGCACCCCTGGTGTGGCTTGAATAATGTTATAGCCAGGCGGCTAGAATTTGTGTTATAGCTCAGGGGCTTGTGTTTTGTTTGCTGTTTAGGATCGGTGGCTTGGGTGAGGCTGTTAGGGGAAGGACGAGGCCTCATAGGGGACTCACAGCAGCATGGGGACCCCAGCGCCAGAGAGGGCGCAGCACTTTGCAGGGCTGTGGAGGGCCCGAGCACCAGAGAGGGGCGCAGTGTGAGACAGGACTGCGGAGAGCCCAGAGAGGACCAGGGGGCCAAATTATAACAAGGCCCAGACTGAACAACGTCAGTTCCATCTGCGAGGCTTGGGGCCTGGTAGAGGAGTGGTTGGAGCCATGCATAGCCCATAAGGCTAGGGTGCCCCAAAAACATCTATTGCAGAACGGGACCCACAAGGGGTCCGGGAGTCCACGGGGTCAGATATTACAGTAAACCGTGTCCAAGAGGACATAAAGGCAGTGTCCCTTATATATATTCTCCATCAAAGATGTGGTGGGTGAGAACTGAGGGTGCCCATTGGGTCAACTTGGCATGGTAAGGGAGCCTTGGGGAGATCATGGCCATCCTGCAGGACCCTGTGCCGTGACAGTGACTTACAGTGACCCAGCATGGAGGTGACCTGTACAGAAGCACTATGACCAGGTCCTTCTCCAGGAGGAACAGATGAAGTTTGCTAGTGAGCTGGAGGTGAAGGGGTGCTTTTGGAAAATGATGCTGCCTGGACATCTAATATTTTTTTTAAGGTTTCCTGAGCTTTGGCTTGTGCAATCAGGCCAAACTCCATCAGGATGTCCAGGGTGGACAATACAGTCAGGTTAGGTTGGATTTTTCTCTCCCAGTTAGTTTGAAAACTGTTTGATCTAGGGGTTAGGGGCAGAAGTTACACATAAACCAGTTTAAGTGATCAGAAACTAGTTTAAACCTGTAACAGAATAGAAATACAGTGCACATAAACCATGTTCAAAATGGCTAAAACTGGTTTAAGATAAACCTGGCTGAATGTTGTATGAAATGTAACTGTTTTAAGTCGAACTGGTTTATTCAATTTTTGTCCTGGACCCCTTCTTGGTGCAAGTTAAATCAGAGTCCCCCAGCCTCCCAGCATTTTGCAGCCCTGGGTTGTGCTGTGCTGTGCTGTGCTGTCTGCTCCAGAGAGCAGGGCTGGCCCTGCCCCTCTGCTTCCTAGCTG